TAACACCTGCCTACATTTTCACCCAACATACCGTAGTGAACATTCAACTTTAGGAAAATCTCTTCTTCTACAGATCCTCTTCCTACTGGGTCAGGATGAGCCCAACACTATTTGCAATGAATAGAATTGTAGCTGTGGTGGGTAGAAAGAAAATGGCTCCATGGGCCCAAAGGGAGAGGCACTATTAGGAGGTGTGGCTTTGTAGCAGTAGGTATGTCCTCGTTGGTGAAAGTGGTCACTAGAGGTGGGCTTTGAGAGCTCAGATGCTCTAGCCACACCCAGTGTGTCATTCCACTTCTTCCTGCAGATCAAGATGTAGAACTCTCAGCTCCTTCTCCAGCACTTTGTCTGCACGGGGGACATGAAATTAATTCTCAAGCCATGTGAAGACACTCATTTGTTTTTCTAGAATGGAGACATTTAAATTATTTTAATCAAGTAATACAACCCTAAAAGGTCCAAGTTGAAGAGATGGTTGAATAATTATGTGACAGGTTCATTCATCATGGATCTTCGTTGAGATAATTCACCTACTTGTTTGAATTCTTTCTCCTGGACTTGAGGAGTTGGGGCTAGGGATATCAGATGTGACACTTGAAAGCTGCCCATTTATTTTGGCCATAAAAGCACTGCATTTAGAACAAGCATTCCTTGTTGAAGCTTCTGGAATTCCTCATGCTGGCTTTGCACACATGCCTGTTTGTACTAGCCAAATTTGCATGGAGCATGATCAGTATGGCATTAGTGTCAGTGTTGCAGCCCCAGCTTGAATGGAGGCAGTGTAACCTTTTGATCACTCTTCTTCCTTCCAAGGATATTACTTGTCCTGCCTCAAAAAAGATTATTCATTGCTCTTACTTTCCCCTTCTGCATGTTTTTATAAAAGTTTGTATGTTTTCCTTTCACTTCATACTTTCAAAACTTCTGATACCCTATGAAGCTCTTGAGAAATTCCCATTTCCAAAAATAGCAAGGCATCCTTCTGAGATGCTGTTATAGCCCCTTTTAATATAGCCATGTGTTTATTTAAACTCACTGCCAAATAGCTCCTTGGTGGTGGTTTCTGGTTGGAGCCAAAAGTTGAATAGGCCATGGAGAATAATTCTAAGAGTGAAGGAAGTTGGTCTAGGCCGAGTCTAAAGCCCCTTTGGGAATGGAGGGCTAGCAAGTATAGCCTTCTTCTTTCAGGAATAATGATCCTGTCATCATTTCTCATCATCAGGCCATTCAACTTGTCAAATTTGAATAGATTGTTAGGGTTCTATAGGAAACCCAATTTAATGTACCATTTGTCCTTGCTGGATTGGAAGGAATGCACATTGTTACATCTCTTCATACATGAGATGACAGATGACCTCACCAGAAAGAAAGAACACCAGTTATACATGAAAGCAAATTTCTTTTTCTAGCAACACACACTACCATTGTGCAAATAATTTACCATTGATTTTTGAGTGATGGAGAAAACAAATTCTTAACATTGCAGAAAGAAGCAAAACTCACCTCATAGTATAAGTTCTATTTTTGATGCACACACCTGTAAAACTTGGAAGAAAATAAATTTTGGACGTGCCAGCAATAGATGACCTAAATATGTTACAACATACAAATTAAAAGATTGTTTCCCAGTGAAATGGATAAAGCTACACTCTTCTTCTTCTTCTTTTTTCCATATGCAACAACAAATATGCAGGATAGCTTATGTGTGTTTGTGTAAGTATCTTCTCAGAGCTCCAGCCTCCTGACAGTCAGGCATCTCAGGGAAGCCACCTGCCTTCAGCAGCAGTTAAAGCTGGAACTCTTCTTTCCTGTTCCCTGACTGATTTGTATGCTCTCTCTGGTGTCCCCAGCAACAGGTGTCTCATTAGCACCTAAGCAGTGCCAGCTCCTCAGGAAGGCTGTGAACTGATTAAACACATGCTCCATTTTTATCTCTTTATGAGTCATTACTTAAAGGTTTTATCACCAGATTGCCACACTTAATTACGTGGAGCCATAATTAAATATGAGCATTCTTAGGCCGGGTTTTTAAAATTTTAGTTTTAACTTCAGTGACATGTTTTGCTGTTTGCTAATTTAAAGATATCCTTAAAAGAGGAGGGAGCAGAGTGGAAGAGAGTCTGTATTTTTCCTTACATTAATATTTTTTAATCCAGTGTGGGAAAAAAATAAGAAAGAATCCTACACTTCAGTTAAAGGCTTGGAGGTAATGAACAAAAATTGGACAATTTAATTTGAATATGCCAAGTTTGTTTTATGGGGTATAAGAAACTGCAGTGCTGCTTACATTACAAATTTTAACTCAAACAGAGGTGCAAGAAAACCTCAGTTAAAAAATGTCTCTGTGTTTGGAAGACACGTGAAGTGGATGTGATAATATAAAACAAAATTTTCCATTTCAGAAAGATTATAAACAATATCCTTCACTTTTTTCCTTCTGAAGTATTTGCAGCATACACTTATGCCAGAATTGCACAGTTAAAAAATAATTTCATAGTTTATTTTGGTGCTGTTTTATTTTTTTCTGATAATTTTTGCATTACCATGTAGTTATCATAATCATGCATTATCATGTAGTTACAAAAGGAGCTAGTGCTCCTTTTGTAAGTTTTTTTCATTCTTATTACTATTTACTCTTTTGGGGGGCTGCTACCAAGCTCCCAAGTCATGAAAGGGAGGCTTATTTTTACTAATAAATGCCTGGCCTCTGTTTGGCTTGTTTCTTGCCAGCTTTTCTTAATTTGAATTTACCTGTTTACCTTTTGCCTCTGGGCGTTTAAATTTCTCTTACTTCTGTAAATCTTACTTTCACTCTTACTCCAAGGCTGGCTGGGTGGCTGCCTCCTGAAGTCTTCCTCTCCTTGCTCTATCTTGTTCCTTTCTTCCACGTTTCTCATTTCTTCTCCCAGATATGTCTTTCTATTTATTCTCTTTGCCTGTCAGCCCTGCCTATCTTTTCTCCCCCCTTGCTTTTGGCTGTTCAGCTCTTTCTTAGACCATCAGTTGTTTTAGACAGGCAAAGAATCAGAGCTTCACAGAGTTAAACAAATGAGACATAAAAGAATGAAACACATCTTTGCATCATTAAAACAAATGTTCTACAGCATAAACAAATGTAACACACCTTTAAATAATTTTCCACAACCCTCTTTTCATGTCCCCACTTGGTAAATTATGGGAAAACCAGGTGGCTTGGCTTCATTCTCTATCTTTTCTTTGGCCTCATCCAGGGATCTTTTTATAGTCTTTAAATTCTTATGGAGATTCACTATAAACAAACACTGATCTAATACTTGATCTCCATGAGAAACAAACATCTAATCTATCAATTTTCCCCCTACCTCCAGCAATGTCAGATTGTGCAAGTTATGAAAGCTTCTCAAATTTCCTATGAGAGATTCTAAACAATCACATGAGGGGATTATGAACAGCGGTGTGGCCTTTCTCATTCATGGTGTCTAAATTCCAAGGATTCTAGTAGAAGAACATTTTGCAATCTCCTTCCTTTTGATTATTACTCCTCTCTCTCAAGTTATTGGAAGTCCCAAGGCATGAGTCTCAATCCTCCTTTGTGGAAAATTCCTTCTCTTACTCGAGAAGTGTTTTTGAAAAACTCCTCACATCTTCAAGGTTACCCAGAATTAAGAGACGTCTTAATGACCTGCAGATGCCTCAACAGGTCAAGGGTACCTGCTGGGTAAGTCTAGCATCCTGAGCTAAATCAGGAAACCTATATAAAAGTGCAAAGGAAAAGTCAACTCTACAAAGCTGTCTTCTGATCTCCTGCATGCTATGGCAAATGCCCCTCCCCTCATGTACATAAAATACACAATAGTAAATAAGTTAAATGATTTATAAAAGATCTTAAGCATCATCTGCCCAGAATGAATGGTTTCTGGTTCAGCCTTATAGGAGACTAGGGAGGATGCTGTGGGATGATGCAGAAGACCATACGCAGGATCCAAGTGGATTCTCCCAGAACAATTATTTATTATTCTTCTAAATAAGAATTATGATTCTCCTGGGTCCTTTACTTGTTGGCCATCTATCATGATTTAGAAGCTTTTGAGTTGTAGATATGAAAGAAAAATAACAAAATAAAATTAAACCAAACAAAGAATTTTAAGTACAACTAGATTAAGTTTAACACAAAATAAATTGACTTTCACTCATTCATGACTTATTAGAAAGACCTGTATAATGTCACCAGTTCTTGCACTTTCCCCTCCTGTTTTGCAGTCTTCTTTGACACAGCTTATCTTAGTCTATGTAAGCTGAAATCGGGGAGGAGATTTCAAACAAATTGTAACAGAAGGAGTTAAGCAGGGAACATAGAATTTATCCAATATTGTCTTAACAGGGCAGACAGATTTTACTTGACTCTTCTAAAATAAAAGGCAGGGAAGAAGTGCTGAGGCAAGCAAGAAGAAAGAAATGGAGAACATTAGTAGAAAGCCTGGTCATTGAGATTACATCATGTAAGATGCTAATAAAAGTTTGAAGCAAATAAGATCTTACCCACCTACAGGGCCAGGAACATAGGGGTGTTCTCTTTTTTGGTTGAAATGATTGGATTTTGGAAGGATGACATGAAGGTGATTGAACATTTCTATTCTTCAAGGTTCACAGAAGGAAAGGAAAATAACATAAAATTGAAAGTAACTCAAAGCTAGTATGCTGGGGGAGTCCAGTGGTTTGAGTCAGGAAGGAAACTCATCTACACATAATGCAATTCTGAGGCTTCTTCAGTCAAGGTCAATGCCCATGTGAGGGTGTAAAAGAAAGACATTGACGATATAACCAACTGCTAATTATTACCCATGTTTTCCACAGTTTAAACATTTAGTGAAGCAAAAATAGTTTCTCAAAGAAGGCAGCTCTGGTTATGAGGTCCCACTATCTTATTGAGTATTATGTATGGTTCCTTCCTCTTTCATTTTTGTGATGGGTGGGCTTTAGTGCACACATTAAAATATGGCATGTTAAAATGAACTAGCAAACTCAATCAAATTCATTTTTATTGGGATAACATCACTAGTTTAAGCAAGTACCATTGTCTTAGAAAAGATGTTTTATTTTCCATCCCTTTGGCTGCTCTGCTTACTGCTCTTGATCCATAGTGATGGTTGGCCATTAAAATTTAATTCTTTTCTCTTCTAATTTTAGATGCAGAATTGCAACACTGACATTCCTAGGACCCCCCTCTTGTGTAGGACATCCATCTCCATCACTTCAAAGTTCTCATCCTCTAAGTGTAATAGAATGTCTTGTCCTTGGAGAGTCTTGCTCTGTGGGTCATTCCTTCCCTGCAAATGGGCAGAAGCTTCATTCATGAGTTTACATGGGTGCTGCTGCCTAATTATTTAAAAGAAGAATCTTAATCCTGGAACACAAAATCTGAGTTTTTAGATCTCATTATAATTCCCATTATAATGTGAACCAAATAAAAATTAGTACTTCTATTGAAAGACCCGCTCAAAATGCCCCTGAGCCCCCTGCCCCGAAGCTGCCGGGGCCTCCCAAGCCTTCAACCCGGCAGGGCTCGCGCCCCCGGCCCGCCCCGCCTGGCACCGC